CATTTTCTGTCTCATTGATTAGGGCGGGTATATAACGACACGTCTTATTTCTATAGTTCGTATAGGGAAATAACCTCTTCGGATGTTGCAATGCACCCCGGGCAAGACGTGTTTGAAAGCATACTCGAAACCAGCGGATAGCAGCGATACATTTATTGCAAGCTTCTTTATGATGCTTCACCACTTCGGGTGTACCGAGGTGGGTGGCAAAACTCAAACACTTTTTCATACGTCGTAACAAGATTCATATTTCGCGGTTTATCCACCGAGGACGGTGTTTCTGTCCCCTCGGGATAGTCCACGGACTGAATGGTTGGGCCACTCGTGCATACAGCTGCTTGAAGGATCACCACACATCTTCAACTGAGGCTCCTGGAATGACCGTCCAATCCTCCGAAGAGGCTGCGAGGTTAACGGCTTCCATATTCGCCCTCCGTATGTCGGGTCAAGCTGGGACATCGGCCCGGTACAAGACGCTTGCTGTGGATCTGAAGATGATTGCAGCGTGCTGACTTTTGCCAAGGGGAGCTAGGTGCCGGATGAAGCACACATTATCCGTATGTGAGAATACTAAGTCCAGAAGTGATGGAGCATGCTAATGATCATATCTGGTTGGTGTCCTGATGTGCTACGTGAGGGTCAAGGAAATTGATGTTTCCACTGACCGGTGCTCAAATGAATTTCGTGGTGCTTTTGTTGTTAGTCTATCCCAGTCAACTGATGGTGCGTTTAAGTCTGCTACAACTAGACATCGACACTTATCTGTCCAGAGAATCAGCTTATTTGGGAGGAAGTCTGTCGCTTCACATTCAGGGCTTTGACTTATCACGATCACGTTAACATCTTGCCCCTTGCATTTTAGTCGGCAGCACAGCATTTCACATGTCCCACTTCATGTGCAACTGTTTCTACGGCTTTTACAGTTATCCTCAACGTTAAAGATGACACTACCACCTTTGCGTGCTAACCTATCACTTCTAAAAGGGATGAATCCTCTTAAGTATGTTTCACTGTCACTGATCCAGGAAGGGAACCAAGTTTCTGATATAGCAGTGATGCCAGAGCTTTCGTTGCTTATCACATTACTAAGCTCAGTCCACTTGTTTAAAAGACTACTTGCATTTGTGTACAAGACAACGAAACTACTTAAATGAGTTTCCGTCCTATCTACAGAAGCTTCGGCATCATCACTACAAGAAAAACTGCTACCTTCAGATCTTGCTCTCCAGCTGCCAATATGGAGTTTAGTTCTGCTTCTTATTCTCTTTTTTGATTCTATCAGCAAGAGCCAGATCCGCTCCAGAAAGATAATTAATATCGGGCGTATACGAGGGAGAAATCATAGGGCCATCTCCATTCTGACTGCTCATCAACGATCGTCCGAATAAAATTTCACCACCCACTCTTCCTTTCACTGACAACATAAGAATTTGGAAGGTGATAAGCGAAGAGGCCGACGGTAAAACATCCCGGAAGGACCTACAACAATTAAAACTCCGGTCGTTAAAAAACGGCTTGAGTTTCAACTTGGAAAAGCTAAAAGTAACACTCATCACGATCCACGGAACATGGATGACGGAGTTTCAGTGCAAGATGAGCAGTCATACATTCACCAGCGTTCATGGGAAAATACCAGAGCCCAACTTTCTTGACATCCTTAACACCAGGTCTAACAACAAAGAAATGGTAGCCACAGCGAACACCATTATGCAATTTCCACGTAGACAGCCCGGTACTGTCATTCCTGAACTACGTTTCAGTTTTCAAGTCCAAATCTGGTCACACCTCTGGCACTCAAGAATGGCTGTAGTCTCCTTAAGAGAATATAAAGATCTATGTTGGAAACAGTTATCCGAATAAAGAGAAATATATACTCCAACTGTTTAAGGCCCCTAAACCATTGCATTAAAACTCATTTACACAAACCAATTTCCGTTGGTCTGTCGCAGAGAGAGGCATCATCCAACCATAGCCTACAAGATTATCCATTAGACAGGCCACGTGAACAACGTAGCCTTACCTGTAGCGTGGTGGTCACCCCGGAGTAACCCCAAAATAGCAGATCAAAGAGCCAGCACCAAGCTTAAGGTCAAACTTCTACCCTTAAGAGTGTGCGGTCTATGGTATACATTACTGAGATGCGGTTACAGCCCCATCAGTAAACTGATTCGAAAGAAGGCTCACCAATTATGTTAGTCCTTATTGCTCATCAGGGAGATACTCAGAGGACTACAAATCTCAACAGCTCATTACTACTCTCTTATTTACTAATTACCACGTTTTTGCCTCGAAACATCTGCATTTTCCTCTAACTCCTGTAAATTAACTATATCTATGATTACTACTTTTCTTCTTCTTGAGCGTCCCGTATACCTTTCTCCACCATCTCGCTATCCCGGTCCCGGCACCTACACAGACAATAGTCACTAAAAAATTTTACTCTTCCCACCAATCAGAGGCTCCATGACCAAGTTAACCTACAAGTTTCAAATATCAACCGAAGGTAAACGCTCATTTCACCAGAGCTAGAAGCAGGGTGGCAGAAGAGGTTTCCCTTCCAAAAACAGGAGCAAAACAGAAAAAAGAAACAGGCGTTAATGACTAGATGTGAGAGATCAAAGACTAGCATTCCCATACAATCGCACTACTGGCTGGAAATGTTGGATGCTAGTGACTGTGGAGCAGTTTGTGTTTTCCTAGTCACTGGTTCATGCCTTTCTCCACTTCTTTTCTATTCCGTATTCTTATGGTCACCGCAAAATCATGCTCTTCCGCATGCCCTTCTGCAACAGCTCAATTACTGGTTAGACGAAGACCTTCTCACAGCTGGTCATTTCATTTTTGTATTGGAGGTATAACCAGGTATGCTCATAGTGAGACCGATTAACTCAGCAGCATCCCCCCTAATGTGGCTCACCACCAGCTTCACAAATTATACCTAGCTTCTAGCTTACATTCGAGATCTGGGACAATATTTTTCACGCTGAAAAGGGGGGGCTGTAGCGGTCTTGAAGCCTTACTGATCTACGCTCTGGTTTCGATTTCCAGACAGCCTTACCTTTTCATCTTGAACCATTGAGGTTTGTTTGACGTCTTTCATTTTTAAGTGTAAGTACATTCTGTGGGCTCAATGAGTTGTCATTTCACTTTCTTCTATTCAAGTTTCTCATCATCACCGGTAAGCTCATGCACTTCTACCCGCACCCCTGGACTATATGAAAACCTAACAACATCTGGTCACTACAGATTTACATCCTACGACAGACTGAAAGAGCACTTGGGTATGCCAGCCATGTATTGATGACCACAGAATGTTTGACAGTCATTTGTGTATTTGACAGATGGAAACCATGTCTCCTGCATGAATTCTTTGATGTTAAGGTTGGCTTTGGGCCACCAGTATGGCCGCAGACAGCATGAACTCCCGTAAGAAACCAGTTCGATGGACAATATACTTGAAAACTATGTCTCTGTTGATGACGCCATAGAGAAGGATGATTTAGTAGTTGATTGCTTGTTGAGAGTGGGGGCAGAGGCTGAATTGTAAGGTTGCATAGCGGATCTCTACAGTGAAACTGGATCCACTTAGAGTTGTTGGTTATCAGTTATAGCACCCACCATGAAAGCAGCAGTTCGGGCAATAGCGGGAGGAATGCAGTATATAAAGAGTTAAAAATCCCTCTCATACAGAAAAATAGGTTGTGTGAATTTGTACAGTGATCTAACTTGGTTAGAGAATGATGGAGGCTATGTATCCGCATTTCCTGAATACCTATAGCAGATGTTACTTTGTGACTACCACCAACTGGTACATAAAGAAGTTACGAGAACTTCTTGCGACTAATTTCATATTGGTCTGTAACAAGGTACTTTACTGAGGAGTCCATTATTATCAGTCTATAGTGTCAATTTCTGAAAAATAATTGGTATTTAAAAAGATTCACTGAGTACAGTGTTCTGGAATGCTATCAAAATATCGAGCTCAAATATTCACGTTTAAATCGAAGCACAATTTTATGGATAGTTGACTTTTTATTGGAATTTTTCCTGCTTCACTTTTTCCTCTCTATTCCAGGTATGAAGTGGCCGTCAAGGGTAATCTGCGAAGGTTATTTTACACGTGTGCACCAGCGTGTATTAGCAGCTGAGATCAAATAAGATTCATGTGCACCTGTACTCTAGCAAATTAATAAGCTCTATTACTATGGTATATTACATTATTTACCAAACTTCTCTTCAGTGTGACCTTCCGCTATGTTCACTTATTCCCCTGATATCTTACATTGATTGGTAACCAGAAGCTAATCAATCTCATGTTGTCTAGTCCTGAGTACTGACCGAAATCTATCGACCATTTTCGTAAGATGGAGACTATCGCAGTGCACTTTTGATGGGTGTCTGTTGGTTGGAAACAGTTAGCAAGAAACCTCGGACCTTCGCTTGAAGATTGTTGGCACTCATTAAAAATGTATATCAGCAACCATAAGGAGACAGGCGTTCTCTCGATAGTTTTAACCTGTGTCACGCCTGTCACTGAAATGCTTGAATTGCTAGTAGAAATTAAAAGTGGTGAGTTAGTACGATCAAAAGTGCTAACTGACTGTTGGATAATGTATTGTGCTAATAATCATTGTTCAGTGACAGAGATATGTGTTCAATCCAATCATATGGAGACCATTTCCCTGAAATAGGTTTGTTGATGACATCTCTAACTGTAACTTAAAAGGATTAACTCCCAAATTTCAGAATTTTAATCCACAATTCATTTTATTAATTCGGATACATCTCATTGATGAAGATCAAATAATAAAAAGGAAACAGACCGAGTGTTATTTATCAATTTTATCTAAATATTTGAGGCGAAAGTGTTTACTAACAAACATAGGAAGAAAACTGATTTAGGTCCCAAAAATTTTACAGTACATCCAAAACTACTTCAGCTCACAACATGATTATAAATGTAAGCAAAACTACATTTAAGAAAGTGAATACGCTTAGTTTTAGAGAACCGGACAATTACATATTTGTGGTCCTATTGGTGCTGTGCTTTGACAATTTGCAATCCCTGTCTTCCACAAATTTTTAATCGGTACAAGGTCTATACTCCGATATTTTATGTACTGTTTGTCATTAGCTTGAAGGTTATATGATCTGAAAGGACCACTGGACCATTTATCAAGATTATGGTCACATTGTAAGCTTTTTGGCTTTTTTGAAGATACATGGGTTATTGTGTTCTGAAAATATTTCAGCTTCACATGGGCTTGTTCCCTAAGTTTATGACTACAAATGGAAAAAAGGAAATTGAATAAAAATGAAGGTTTCAACACAATAAAGAATTTTTCAATCAGCAGAACTTTAATGTAAAAAGTATTCTTAAGGATTTATTCAAGTTGGTGATTGATCAGGTTTATTTTAACTAAAAGCAGTCTCAAGACTAAACTGATATGAATTTTGAGCTCTTTCGTCATGGTATTGGGTATTGGGCTATGCAAGTTTCATGGAACAGGCTGATTTAAATTTAAATCAACAGACACCATCTTTCTGAAACAGACTGAAACATTAGTTGGATGGTGGTAGGAAGCTCTGAAACTAATTTCGTGCTTTTGGGCACGCGTCAGCAAGGCGTATCTGCAACATCGATGGGACTGATGTTCCATATGAGATTCAGACTCGCATCACTTAGTGTTGTAGTCAACGTCGTTATCACTGAGGTATTCGGGCCTCAGCTGACCTCGTGTAGGACTGAAACCAATTTATTTTAAGCGAATAGTGAATATGAATAGCAGGTGTAATTGTTTTCAAATAACCTTGTACTAGGAGTTCCAACGAGTTTAACTAATTAATTAGCAAACTACATTTAAGTCAGTAGATCTAGTCATTAGGTCACAACCATAATTCAGTAATGAAGTAAAGTTTTGTCTCATGAAAAGTTATTTGTACTGATGGGAAAATGTTATTCATTTCACGCGGGCTGAGAACAACATCTATTGAAACCGAAATTTCATATTTCATTATGAATGAACTGTAAATCAGTGCTTACATGCAACAATCATATTTTAATCTATAATGGTGTTTCAAGCATAACTACTGCAAGTGATTCCACTAGCAGTTGCAATTTTAGTCGAAATATAACAAAACCTGAAAATTTGATCATTGTATGTTAACAATTGTAATGAATTGATCCATTCTACAGTTCACAGACTTTATCATGGTTTCAATAAATTCCACATGGCTGTAATCCAGGGGGTTGAACGGCCTAGGTTTGATGTTTATAGTGTCATAGGTGAGCACTGCTAACCAATCGCATACTGGGACGAGTTGGCAGCCTAATGCTTCCGGCTTTCAATGCTCCTGTAGCTTTTGTCAGTTCACGATAAACAGTAACCAATTTGAAATCAATAAATCCTGACAAAACTCTAAGCAAATTGCCTTCTTTTCCTTCATAAGTCATCCATTGTTTCAGTCAGTTTACTGAACTATTCTAAAAGTCAAATTTACAAAACGGTCAACTAGAGAATTGATCTTTCCCATCGAATCCGTTAACCAGGTAGTAAACAGTCAAATAAAATGCCTGGTCACAAACTAGCCCCATACAATTAGTTTTTGATCATGGTGTATAATATTTCACTGCTACTGTAGTCATTTACAACAGCCAGATTTATACTTAACGAATTCGAAACTTATAGAATATGCATAGAGTCGAATACCAGTTGGTTTTGTAATACTTATCATCTACTTCACTAGTATCGGCTTAAAAGTTGATTTTAACATCACTATCAGGATAAGTTTGTTCGAGAATGAAACTTATCAGTCAACATGAACACTTTTTATGTTTTCGAAGCTGTTTCCAAAATATGCTTAATCAGTTTAGAAAATATACTGCGCTCTATTATATTGGCTAATTGTATATGTGGATTACATGTTATTCGCAAGGAATGTTTGACGTCATTAAAGTTGTTATTATTATTGTGTAAAATATACCCATCAGGATATGAAAGAAGAACAGAGGAAAAAAACCAACTGTGTTGCCAACTTATCAAAAAACAAAAATGGAAGAACTTCTTTTTCAAAAAGGATTGAATTACAACACAAGAGATGCTTCGAAACCGAAATTCTTTGCGGCATTAGAAACATCACTTAAAACATCACGATTAAATGAGGTCACTCAACAAGAAATACAACAAACAATCGTACCACTGACCAGGCAGATGAGACGTCACGCTCAAATGAACACTCAAGAACAGAAAATATTAAAAAGGCTGAAAACTGGAAAGGCATCATCATACTTCCAGCAGACAAACGACAGACTAAAGTAGTCATGGACAAAGAAAACTACATTAGAAAAGCAGAGGAATTACTCAAAAGCGAAAATGCACATCAACTACTTGAAACCAGCCCTATCCAAAAGTTCAACAATCAGATCAATAAAACCTTGAACAAACTCTTCAAAGCAGAAGAGATAACAAAGCAATACAAATGGAGAATGAAATCGAATGGACCTGTCCTTCCTCGGCAGACCAAAAATACATAAACCAGACATTCCTCTACGACCAGTTGTCTCACTTCTGGGAACTCCAACATACAACATACCAAGAAAATTTCCGAGAAAACTGAAACATCTTGTTCAATCATGTGGATATTCCATCAAATCACCAACGCAATTCTTAGAAAAGATCAAAAGCATTAACATAGAAAACGACGAATTAATGGTATCCTTCGATGTCTACATCCATCGAACCTCAATCAGCCAAGGAAACTATGTCGCTCCTGCTCAATGAAGACACAAAACGACTTAAATGTCCAAGTCTGATGCAACTCATCGACCTTTGTCTGACAACATACTTCCAATTCAACGGCAAGATATACAAACAGATGAAAGGAACTCCAATGGGATCACCAATATCCGGACTAATTGCAGAAGCACTGATACAGAGACCAGAAGCCATCATCCTACCTGTGATCAAACCAAAATTCTAGATTCGTTATGTGGACGACACTCTTGTCATCATTAAAAAAGATGATATAGAAAACACCCACAGTTTCATCAACAACGTTTTCAGTGACATCAAACTCACAATGGAGAAGGAGTCAAACAACCAAATACCATTCCTGGATGTTTCAATCAGTAGGACAAATGCTGGAGAGCTGGAAACACAAGTCTACAGGAAGCAAACACACACCGAGTGATCAAATCCTCAACTACAGTAGCAACGACCCAACCACGCATAAAATTATTTGCATGCAGACTCTACTCAAAAGAGTGAGAACACATTACAGTACAGCAACTTAACGGAGAAACGAAGTAAAACACTTGATGTTCATCCTAAAGAAGAATGGCTACCCGCGAAACTTTATCAAAACATGCCTATCCCGTATGACATCAACTACAAATGTCATACACAGAGATCAACAAACGCATCATCCTACCATACATAAAGAATATATCAGAAACCATGACAAGATTACTGAGACCACTTGGTGGAATTGGTGTGGCTCATAAACCAACGAATTCCCTCCAAATACTACTATGCAGACCGAAGGATGTGACAACCAAAGAAGACAAACCGAATATCATTTACAAAATCAACTGCAAGAACTGTAGTCAACACTACATTAGACAAAGTGGTCACCCTCTTCGTCTACATGAACATCAACTGGCCATTGAAGGTCACGACATCCCATCATTCATTTCAATGCACATGGACATGAATTCAATTTCAACAATGTAGAAATTTTGGACGTAGAGAGGAAACACAAAGAATATCAGAGAATTCCTAGAAGCTTGGTATTCAGGCCAGTCAGTCAGTCAGCAATCAACAGATGTATAGACATAGATCCAGTCTGTCGACCAATCAGAAAGATGATAAACAACAGAAAGGTCAGAGGTTAAGCAAAGTAACGGCCAACAGAAAAATCTATGCAGTCAGTGACACAACAATCAAAGGAAACAACCAATCACAAACCAGTTCGTCAAGGCAAGCTACAAAATCACTGACTGAGAGATATTGACAGGTTACTTCATACTGAAGTTAGTGCTAATGATGTCGTCAAGAAAGACTATGAAATCTTCACGATTTAACAACCCAGTTCAGAGAACACAATACAACCAAGAAAGAAAAACAAGTATATTACAGTGAACAGTCTCTTTTCTCGGCGATTTCATTTTCAAACCTGTACGCAATCGCAAATTTATACCTCTTTCTAGTGTGATTCGTGTTCATGCTGTGTTCAGTTATAGCACTCGTTATCGCTCCATTGTTACCTCTTTGTAACCACGTGGGATAGTGTTCTTGAACCCTTTTGGATAACAGTCGCATTGAACGATCTATATACCTGGCCACACAAGAGCAAGTGAATTGGCACGTGTGCATAGAAGTGGTCAGATGGGAAAGTCTTTTTTTTGAGTTGTTAGAAGTCGTTGGGCGACAAGGGAATACTAGTCTCAGCGTTGATGCAAAGAATACTCTCAAACACCAATTTTTCTAATTGTACATTGATAAGTGTGTAAGTAATATCACAGAATGTCTCAGACAAGTTTCCGATAAAAGGTCAAACTTAACTGAGAGGTATATAGAGAGAATGAAATGATATTATGTAGCACAAGAGATTGGTCTCAATAATTTTTATAAATGCAGTGAAAAGTGAGATTTGGTATCTGTTTAAGGCCATCGTAAAGAGAGTGTATGTGCACCCTTCAATCTGACATTCATTAAAAATATTTACTTCAAAGCTGATTGAATCTTTTCCATATTCTTCATTGTTCCTTATTTTGGTCTATAAAACGCTTATCAGTTGCCTGTATCAAGTGGCTATCCTATAGACGGATCTTACAATAGAATTACCAGGCCTTCTTTGAAGTGTGATGTCGAGAAATTGAAAAGTCGAGTTTGGTTCAGCTTCCAGCTTAAATTTGACTCAAGGGCAGCTGTCATTGAAATTTTCAAGGTCTATGAGGTCCAGGTTGTCATTACAAACAATGAAGATGTTATTCATATATCTATGAATACATGAATCTGATGGATTTTTGGGACCAATGTACTATTCTCATGACAAGCCATGAAATCATCGGCAAGTTGAGGTTCTAGAGGCAATTCCAGTGTTACATCATCAAGTTGTCTGTAAATTTCGTTTGTAAGTCTAAAGCAAACTTTAAATGTTGTTGTTTCAGGTAGTGGTTCGCCAGGCCATTTCTGGATTGAATGAATTTGAACAAGAAACGAATTATGACTATTCGCTGATGTTTTTAATTCGAATTATTCGAACACTGTTGGTTTATAGGC